GAAGCAGTATTGGTTCCCCAGGTGTCTGGGGCCCCAAGACTAGGAATGGCGCAGGGCTCAAACTAGGAGTATAGAACGGCGAGGTGGGGGGATGGATTGGTGTAGGGAGTCCCGGCGCGGAGCGCTGCGCTATAGACTTACCCCAAGAGGCCTGAGGATAGTAGTCCATAAATTTTTTTTTTAAAGTTTTCAAAACCTAGAGAAATCAAACAATTGCAGACACTGTGCACCCCATCTATATCTGTCTCTATTAGAGACTGTGGGTCAGAGAATTGAGACTCCACAGAAGGTACTTAGTGACTGAGCTACTTTCCAAACTGAGCTCAACTGGTATGTTACTTCTGAGTCTAAGAGAATTTGAACTCAGTACTGAGCTTTCTATTTTGGATCTAATGTTTTGACGTGTCCCTGCTTCTGTTTTCTTCCATGTCCTAACTTTCTGCCTTATTTCATTTTCTAACTTTATAATTATATGTAAATATGAGATGAAATTCTTGGAGATCCTTGAAGGAAATACTTTCAAATACTATGAAGAGAATACTTTCATATCACTTCAATCATTTGATGGGGCTATGATGTGATTCAGAGATAGAATGCTTGCCCAGCTTGGGCAAAGCCATCCTCAGCATAAAACCAGATATGATGGTTTACTTCTGTAATCCCAGCACTCAGGAGATGGGAAGAGGAAGATCAGAAGTTAAAAGTTATCTTTAGCTTCACAGTGATTTGGAGGCTAGTTTAGGATTTGTGAGACCCTGTTTCAAAAAACAAAGTAATAGCAGGGAGTGGCAGTGCATGCCTTTAATCCCAACACTTGGGAGGCAGAGACAGGCAGATTTCTATGAGATCAAGGCCAGCCTTGTCTATACAGTGAGTTCCAGGCCCGCTGGGGCTATAGGAAAACCCTCTTTCAAAAAATAAAACAAACAAATAAATGCATTTACTATTATGCCTTCAAAAACTATTCTTTTGTGACACTTCTTTTCAGTAGCATATTCCCTGTGCTAAATGTGTTGTGGTTTAGGCCATTGTGTATTCTGGTACATAGTGTGATCTCTCAGTGGTGAGAAGATAAAGTTCTCTTCAAAACATTTTTATGTCATGATACTTTTAGGCTTCCTTGTGTCTCTGCTGATAGTTGTTTTGACAGCTCTTTTATAGGTAAAATTTTCAGCTAGAAACATACTTAGAATAATCAAAGTATTGCTTTTTTTGTTTTGCAAGTTCTTCGCTACAAAGATCATTAGTGTACCTGAAGCACATGGCCCTGTCCTTCAAGGCATCCCCTGGACTCTTTGGAAGACCACATTAGTGCTCTAACTAAAGGAAATAAAGTCTTTCAGAAAGAGTGTGTATTGGTGTATTGAAAAAAAAATCAGTTGCCTAAAAGTAAGATAAGAAAGTTTTTCGTTGAGGGAATGGATTTTATAGGTGGCCATTGGCTTTCAGTGCTGACTTGCTGAAATATCACGTGGTCCTTGTGGATCCAGTGCCAGTGGTAGTACACATAATTGTGTAACAGTCGGTACAATTTGAAGCACAGTACATATAGTCATGTCTTAATCTTCACAACGGTACACCATAGGCGCTCTTGTGTACTCCTTTATAAACAAGGCCCCTGAAACTCAGGGAAAGTGACTTGCTTAAGGTCACCCAGCTCATAAGAAGTAGAGCCAGGATTTTGTTTTGTTGTGTTTCTGAAATGAGTGCAGAGCCAGGATTGAATCCATAGTCTTGCTGTAGGATTCATGCTATTAAGCCTCACACTGTCTGCCATGTGGCTTCTCTGTATGGGCTCTGCCCTGGCAGTGTGACCCCAGAGTGTTTTCTCTACCGCATTCTCTGGTTCTTTGCAGCTTTCCCTTCCAGGGTTGTTTAAATAGTAAGTTACCTTGGATTCATGCTTTAAACCAGTGATGCTTTCAAACTTTGATGTGCTGAAGACTCATCTGGAAGACTTGTTAAAACACAGGTTGTTGGGCACCTTCAGAGTTTGCTCTGGTTTAGTAGGTTTAGACTATGTCTATATTTCTAATAGGTTCCTAGGTGTTACACTGCTGGCCTGGGAACCACAATTTGGGGAACTTCGTTACGCTTTTGCCATGTCATAAATAAAAGTAGACAGTCAGGGGAAGGGGATAGTGAGGGAAGAGCCTACAAAGCCTTCCTAAACATTGGCATGTGGGCTCTACTCCATCGTCAGGCTAATGGGATCCATGGAAGAGTTTCTAGCTTCTAGCAATGATGCCAACAGAAATGTAGTTACTAGGACCTTATGAGTTTTGGTGGGATTCACTTTAGGAATTAGTGCTGTCTTCATCCAGCCAGACCACACTGTTCACACACCTACCTGGCATTCATTGATGATAGTCATTTTCTTTAAAAATCAATTATGCTTTGGGTGACCCTTCAACTGATTGAATTTGCTATTTTGATTTGGCTTTGAATTGGTGCTGTCTTGTTGAGTTCCCAACACAGGCACTGGCAGAATAACTAGGGGATATGAGGGCAGGTCAGTAAATGAATGGATAGTCCTCATGTGTAGAATTCCCAGAATAAGTTTGCCTGATCTGTATCTTAATTTAAAGATTTAGATTTTGTTTCTTTTAAACCTTCCTCTAATTAGTCCATGTTTATTGAGTCTCTTTAGTTTTTGACTTCCCACATTTGGCAAATCCATACTCTGTAAACAGCATGACTGGTAGAGTTCTGCAGATACAGAGCTCCATAGTTTCTGTGAGAGCAAAGGCAAATGAGGGCTCAAGGACCGGCCCAAAGCTACTTGTTGCTTGTCTAAGCAACCGTTTGCTTCTGTTTGCTCTGGGCAGCACATAAGCAGTCTTAGGCCAGCAGTACCACCCACTGATGGGTGTAGATAGCTATCAGTAACGTATAGCAGAAGTCTGCCTCCATCTGCTCCTCTCCTTTCCCTTGGAGGTTTGTGTACACCGTGTTCTCCCCCACCTTCATTATTCATCTTGCAGTGAATTCAGCGTCAGACAGTCTGAACTCTGCCATATGCACCTAGTTTAAGTGCATTTTATCTTCTGACTTCAAGAAAATCATATTCTCAGAGAAAATAATCACTGTTAATAAGCATCAGTGTAGAGCCAGGGATACAGCTATCTGAAGGAGGAAGAAGCCATATTTGAAATGGAATAATTTCAAGAATGCAGAATTGAAAACTACTGAACATAATCAAAGGTCCCATCACTGATTGTTTTAATTGACAATTATTCTATTCTATGATCTAAGAAGTGAATTTTCCCTCAGATACCATCATTTGTGGAAAATAAAATGGCAGTGTTTTTTACTTATTTTCTTTTCCATGTTATATATTTTCTAGTATTTTCCTCCTAGATTTAGAGTCTGTTAGTAATTACATTTATCAAGCAAGCACTAACAGTACAATGTGAGAAGCACCAATCATTTCTTTTGTTTCTTTTGTGAACAGATATATTTAGATTTCCAAATCATTTACTTTAAAATTGTGGTATAAAACAGCCTTTTCCAACAGAAGTGTCATGTGAACCATGTACATACTTGTATATTTTCTTAGCAATATTTTTAAAATGTAAAGAAATCAAGTGAAATCAATTTTAATAATGTATCCTACATAAATTCATTGACATATTCAAGAATATATACATCATAAAAACAATAAAAAATTAAAGTGATCCTAGAAATCACACAGTGGTCCAGCGCGTGCTGTGCAGCTGCACCTTAAGCTGCAGAACGAGTGCAGTGGTCAACCAAACAATAGAGTTGCATTTAACAGAAATACACATTACACTGCTAGTTTTAAAATTAAAATGAAATGCCTTAAAATTAAATAACTTTGGGTTTTTTAGTTCTCAACCCTTTAGTCACCTTTGAAGAAGCCCCATGTGGAAAATGTGGCTGTTGGTTATGACAACTGGTAGGTCAAACCTTTCATAATCAAGCAAGTATTCCAGATAAAAACAGCACTGCTGCTTCTTCAGGGTTCTCCCATATGTTAATCACGGTTTTTGATGCTTCTCATTTTAAAATTAATTGTACTAAGGGACTAAGAAGATAGCTCAGTTGGTAAAGTGCTTGCCTTGCAAGCTTGAGAACCTGAGTTCTATCCCCAGCACCCATGTAAAAAGCCAGAT